CCATTTTTTCAAGTATGCACCTTCTTGCTGTTATTAAACAAATGTAGACCCATTCTTTATTACTTTTCTCTGACTGTCCCTTTGACGCCCTCTCCCAATAGCTAAACAGAACTGGCATTGGGTCTTCTGGTATGCTATAACCACCAATCTTAGATGCATAAGCCAATGCTTGCTACAAAAAAGTATTGGCTAATGGGCAATACCAAAAATAATGTGATAGTGTGACCTTTTCTTCTCCACATTTTGGAAATGTGTGACTGCAGGTCATATTACTGAATTGATAAATATAATAATTGGTGCATTATCTTATATTGCGCATCATACTTCATTTATTATAATTTTACAGATCCTTCGGTATCCCTGGAGTATTTTATATACTATGTTATCCACCTGAAAATCCTGAGACCATTTTTGGATATTAGATGTATTTTGTTTTAAAAGGCCTTGTCAGGGAGGGGTAGATAACAGAAATAGATAAATCTGAAGTTCCTAGTAGAGTGTCCAAAAAGGGAGTAAACATATCCCATCTAGGATGCAATGTAATACTCCTCCAGTAAGAAGACACTTGCATAAAATAGAAATAATCCAATAAGGGAATATGATATTTCTGACACAAGGCCTGAAAAGTGTATGGATTCTCCATATCCATATCAAACAATTGATGTACATGTATGTGTCAATCCTTGATTTGGCCTTCTGCAAAAAGCTATATGTTGTTCCCCTGCAGGAAATGCTGGGTTACTTCTAATAGGATACTGTATCTTGTACAATACAGAGATTTATGAGTATATTTTCCTACTTCTCTCCATACCAGCACTGTATTTCTTATCTAGATGTTGCGGTGATTAAATATAGGCATTTTCTCAGGTGGACAATGCAAAAGGGATGTTAAATTCCAGGGTATTGTCACGTTTAATTCCAACTCATTGTTTGAAAACCTAGATTTACCCAAAATCTAGTCTACAGCATGATTAAACAGACACAATAGATTGTATAATCGTATATTAGATGAGGCCATTCTCCCCTCTAACTTGGGTATGTTAAGTTTTTTAAATGCAGTCTGAGGTTTCTTACCCTGAGAAATGAATTTACAAAATGCCGAATTCAACAAATTTATATATTTATGTTTAATAAGAAAAGGGAGTGTTCTCATTGGATAGAGTAACTTGACATCTTTATTAAATGTTTGCAACCAAAGCAAAATTTGATGCCATGTTGGCCCCACTCCAGAAGATAATGGTAAAACTTCACATTTAGTGGCAATAATTTGTACCCCAAAGAATAAACCATATTGCGTAATTAGCTCATGTCATTTAAAGATATAATCATTTAGATTTGTCAATAGTATAATATCATCTACAAAAAAGACAAATTTTAAGTGGTTCAACCTCTATAGAAATGACTGAAGTCTCTAAGGTAGATGTCAGTAGTCTGGATAAAGGCTCCATTGCCAATCTAAACAACAACAGTTATAGTGGGCATCCCTGTCTGGGTTCTTTAGAAAGAGGAAAGGGGAAGAGATAAAACATGGGGTGTATTATATACTCTAGCAACCAGGTTTTTATACATAATAGATAAAATATGCATAAACTGTCCTTGAAATCCCATATTTTGCAGAACTTGAACTATCAAGGCCAGGTCCACATTGGTCAAATGCTTTTTCAGCATCAGTAGTTATCAAAGATACAGTATATCTTTAGTTGGATTATTTTTTGCATATTTAAGGACCACCAGCACTTTACGTATATTCAAAATCACTGTACAACTTTTGACAAAACCAACCTGGGCTGGTGATATTAAAATGGCTAAAATTAATGGTAATTGTGGATTTTCACATCCACATTAATTAGAGAAATCAGACAATATGACCGGGTTTTGTTTGATCTTTTCCTTTCTTAGGCAAAACCTTTTGAGCCTCTGTTCCTGTATTCAAATAATCCCCTCTTCTCCTCATGTCAGGAAATAGTATGTGTAGAATTGTGGAAAGTAGAGTTCGTAATATTTTTTATACTTCCTCTGCATAGCCAACTGGCCTGGGAGCTTTACAACTTGGAAGTTGCTTAATAATCTTTATGATTTCTTCCATTGAAATAGGTCTATTAAGTACAGAGCATATTTTCAGGAGAGATACTTGATGCACAAATGTTATACCACCCTGATACATCCACCTTTTTGTGCTGATTATGGATTTTGCCAAAATTGCTCTAATACAAAATGTATCTGTTTAGGATGGTACACCAGACACTTTCACCCCCTTCCAGTCCCAGCCAATTTTCAGCTTTCAGCGCTCTCACACTTTGAATGCTCTTGCACTTTGATCACCACTAGGGTTTTTATTTTTTGCCATATGTTTAAACCGTATTTTTCGCTCCATAAGACGCACTTTTTTCCCCCCCAAAAAGGGGGGGAAAATGTCAGTGCGTCTTATGGAGCGAATATAAAGCGGCCGGTCCGGTATTTTTGCGGCCACCATGTCAGAATACCGGGCCGGCCGCTCAGCTGTTGTCTCCTGCAGGGCCTTACCTGTTCCTCGCTCCAGCGCTGCACAGTCTTCCCGCGCTGGCTTCTGTGACAGCCGGGTGCCCACTGCTCATGTGCTGCACTTTGTGAATGATCCGGTGTCTTCTGGGACACATGAAAGGTCCCAGAAGGCACTGGGCCATTCACAAAGCGCAGCGCTTCTCGCACATGCGCAGTGGGCACCCGGCTGTCACAGAAGCCGGCCCGGGAAGAAGAGGGAAGGCAACTCCGCGGAAGTGGGAGCGGGTACCTGTCAAATTCAGGTACCCGCTCCCCCTACCTCCCCAAAGGTCAGCAGTCTCTGGTCATTCCCTTCACTGTCTGCAGTCTCTGGTCATTCCCTGCACTGTCTGCAGTCTCTGGTCATTCCCTGCACTGTCTGCAGTCTCTGGTCATTCCCTGCACTGTCTGCAGTCTCTGGTCATTCCCTGCACTGTCTGCAGTCTCTGGTCATTCCCTGCACTGTCTGCAGTCTCTGGTCATTCCCTGCACTGTCCGCAGTCTCTGGTCATTCCCTGTACTGTGTCAGCAGTCTCTGGTGATCTCCTGCACTGTGTCTGCAGTCTCTTGGTCATCCCCTGTACTATGTCCGCAGTCTCTGGTGATCTCCTGCACTGTGTCCGCAGTCTCTGGTCATCCCCTGCACTATGTCCGCAGTCTCTGGTCATCTCCTGTACTATGTCCGCAGTCTCTGGTCATCCCCTGTACTATGTCCGCAGTCTCTTGGTCATCCCCTGTACTTTGTCCGCAGTCTCTGGTCATCTCCTGTACTGTGTCTGCAGTCCATTGGTTCAGAATATTTTTTTTTCTTTTTTTTCACCTCTAAAACCTAGGTGCGTCTTATGGTCAGGTGTGTCTTATGGAGCGAAAAATACGGTAAATGAAAAAAGAATGAAATTTTTTTTTAAAAAATGGTGCTTTTCTTATAAAATTTTGCAAATAAATAATCTTTCTTCATAAATTTGCCAAATGCCAAAATGTATTCTGCTGCCTTTTTTTTGTAAAAAATAACCCAAATAAGTATATAGAAAAAAATATAATTTTTGTAAAAAATACTTTTTTACATTTTTTTTAACAATATTTATTTATTTACATACCGTTACCCTAGAAGTACTGTGTCACCACAGTGACACTGTACTACTTGTGGGGGATGATCAGGATTTTTTTTTTTGCAGTCATGCTGGCTGTAAAAGGAATCATTTCTCACTCTCTGGCTGTACTGTTGTAGCCATTGAAAAATATTGTGAGAGTTGTGATTGGTCGCACCTTATCACATGGTACAAGGCTGCTGTGAATGGCCTTGTACCATGTTATCTCTGTGATCGATCACAGAGCTCACTGTAGTAATTACATCTTGTTTACTACTGTGCATGTGATCACTGATTGGCCAATCAGCAATCACATGGTACTGGGACCACCCACAGTGTCTCAGTACACTGATCCGTGTTCCAGGGGGCACAGATCCTGCTGCTGAACGCTCCCAGGGACCATGCACAGGCCAGGCAGTGGATATGGGGGGACATTTAGAAATGTCCACCCGCATCAGCTCTGCTCCTGTCCGACTGTTTATATGCATAGGCCAGACAGGAAGAGGTTAAAATATGAATATGAGTAGAAGGTCATTTTCCTCTAAATAGATTTGCCAATATCTTTCCTGCTTTATTCCCATATTTGTGGAATTTTAATCTTATATAAGCTTCATAATTTAGCTCCACTTATGATGCCCAATAATCAAATTGCTGTTTTGCCTTTAGCCATTCCTCATTTAATTGTTTCCATGGAAAAGTAGGTAACTGAATTTGGGCTTTAATACCTTTAATATACAGGGCTCTAAATTTTTACCTTAAAGCTGTAACATAGGATATAATCTTCCCTCTCATAAAGGCTTTACCTGTTTACCAAAACTGCATCATGTTAGTCCTATGATCTACATTATTCACTTCATATTCCTGCCAAGCTTCCCGAAACATCTGTTAAAATGATTTGTCATGGGTCAAGTGAGAAATACACTTTCAAATCATACAATCACCGTTTGATATATAATCTTGTATTTCTTCTAATACTATTGGGGAGTGATCAGATGTATTTCTGCATCCACTATATATGATTACATGGGCATTGTTAAAAATATATCTATCCTTGTAAAACTATGAGAATAGGAAGAGTGTGTATATATATACTGTATATTCTTTCAGTTGGATTCCCCATTCTCCATATTTCTTTAATATCTAGTCTCTCTCTCATATCTTGTAATAAAGTAAGCTTTAAGGCCTCATTATGACGTTAACCCATACTCCTCCCTTATGGGGTTTCCTGTCTTCCTTACTATCCATAATCAAGTTGAAATCTCCTATTATGATTCTACCTTTAATTTCATCTTGCATAATCCGTGCGGTGATTTCCTGGTAAAAAATTCTGGAAAGCAGAAGTTACTAAATATAGATAGTAAATAGTGTTTTGCCTTCTTCCCTCTTCATCTTGTCTTTTAGAAAGAACTGAATAGTTTAACGATTTATTTAAAAGAATCATTACCCCTGCCTTTCTACCTATCCTATTGCAGGTATCATACCACCACTGGTCAAGGATTTTTGCGATCTTAAATATTTGGTCTAGTTCTATGAGCCCGTTCCACTTTACATGGGTTTGAAAGTCCACGTAAATCCAGAGTTCTATTTGAACAAACAGACTGTAAAATATTTTCATTATAGGATTCTGGAAGTCCTATTATGTGCAAGTTATTTCTTCTATGTCAATTCTCCACATCCTCAATTTTCGCCTCCATTACCTTCATTTTACTAGTGACATCCTCCATATCCTTTAAATACTTTTCCGCATCAACTTCCAAAGTATCCACAAGATCCTCCGCTTCCGTCAATCATTGTACCTGTTTTTTAAATTCTGCTTCAAAGAATGTATAGTACGACCTACTATTGTACACTTGGAGATTCATGCCTATAGTATCTGGAAACATGTGAGTGCAATACCAGTGTGTCTGGTTTTACTAATAAACAAAATTACACTTTTTGGATACCTCTGTTAAGATTATTAATATACAGAATTTATATAGCGTCAACAGTTTGCTCAGCGCTGTACATTATAAAGGGAGACAGTACATGAGACAGTACAGTAACAATATGATTCAATACAATTCAATACACGAGGGGTTCGAGGGCCCTGCTCCTTGGAGCTTACAATCTAGGAGGGAGGGGAGAGTGGTACAGGAGGAAATAGCTGTGGGGGATGGAGTGGTAGGAAGAGTGGAGCAGTTCAGTAATTAGCTGAGGGTGGGGTAGGCTTCCCTGGAGAGATAGGTTTTCAAAGTGCGTCTAAAGGTGAGGAGAGTAGGTGACAGTCTGATGGATTGGGGTAGGGAGTTCCAGAGAATGGGGGAAGCCCTGGAGAAGTCCTGGAGATGGGCATGGGAGGAGGAGACCAGGGAACTAGAGAGTAGGAGGTCTTGTGAGGAGCGGAGAGTGAGTTTTGGGTGGTATTTGGATACCAGATCGGTGATGTAGTTTGGGGCAGTATTACAGTCAGGTCCATAAATATTGGGACATCTAACATTTTTGGCTCTATACACCACCACAATGGATTTGAAATTAAACGAACAAGATATGCTTTAACTGCAGACTGTCAGCTTTAATTTGAGGGTATTTACATCCAAATTAGGTGAACGGTGTAAGAATTACAACAGTTTGCATATGTGCCTCCCACTTGTTAAGGGACCAAAAGTAATGGGATAAAATAATAATCATAAATCAAACTTTCACTTTTTAATACTTGCTTGCAAATGCTTTGCAGTCAATTACAGCCTGAAGTCTGGAACGCATAGACATCACCAGACGCTGGGTTTCATCCCTGGTGATGCTCTGCCAGGCCTCTACTGCAAATGTCTTCAGTTCCTGCTTGTTCTTGGGGCATTTTCTCTTCAGTTTTGTCTTCAGCAAGTGAAATGCATGCTCATTCGGTTTCAGGTCAGGTGATTGACTTGGCCATTGCATAACATTCCACTTCTTTCCCTTAAAAAACTCTTGCTTTTGCAGTATGCTTTGGGTCATTGTCCATCTGCACTGTGAAGCGGCGTCCAATGAGTTCTGAAGCATTTAGGCTGAATATGAGCAGATAATATTGCCTGAAACACTTCAGAATTCATCCTGCTGCTTTTGTCAGCAGTCACATCATCAATAAATACAAGAGAACCAGTTCCATTGGCAGCCATACATGCCCACGCCATGACACTACCACCACCATGCTTCACTGATGAGGTGGTATGCTTAGGATCATGAGCAGTTCCTTTCCTTCTCCATACTCTTCTCTTCCCATCACTCTGGTACAAGTTGATCTTGGTCTCATCTGTCCATAGGATGTTGTTCCAGAACTGTGAAGGCTTTTTTAGATGTTGTTTGGCAAACTCTAATCTGGCCTTCCTGTTTTTTAGGCTCACCAATGGTTTCCATCTTGTGGTGAACCCTCTGTATTCACTCTGGTGAAGTCTTCTCTTGATTGTTGACTTTGACACACATACACCTACCTCCTGGAGAGTGTTCTTGATCTGGCCAACTGTTGTGAAGGGTGTTTTCTCCACCAGGGAAAGAATTCTTCGGTCATCCACCACAGTTGTTTTCCATGGTCTTCCGGGTCTTTTGGTGTTGCTGAGCTCACTGGTGCATTCCTTCTTTTTAAGAATGTTTCAAACAGTTGTTTTGGCCACGCCTAATGTTTTTGCTATCTCTCTGATGGGTTTGTTTTGTTTTTTCAGCCTAATGATGGCTTGCTTCACTGATAGTGACAGCTCTTGGATCTAATCTTGAGAGTTGACAGCAACAGATTCCAAATGCAAATAGCACACTTGAATTGAACTCTGGACCTTTTATCTGCTCATTGTAATTGGGATAATGAGGGAATAACACACACCTGGCCATGGAACAGCTGAGAAGCCAATTGTCCCATTACTTTTGGTCCCTTAACAAGTGGGAGGCACATATGCAAACTGTTGTAATTCCTACACCGTTCACCTGATTTGGATGTAAATACCCTCAAATTAAAGCTGACAGGCTGCAGTTAAAGCATATCTTGTTCGTTTCATTTCAAATTCATTGTGGTGGTGTATAGAGCCAAAAATGTTAGATGTCCCAATATTTATGGACCTGACTGTAATACTGCCCCAAACTACATCACCGATCTGGTATCCAAATACCACCCAAAACTCACTCTCGTTTCATTTCAAATCCATTGTGGTGGTCTATAGAGCCAAAAATGTTAGAATTGTGTCGATGTCCCAATATTTATAGAACCTGACTGTATACCCGATATCCTACAGGGCAACCAGCCCTGAAAAGAATGGCACTGAGAGGCATTGAACCGGGGCCTATAAAGCGCCCCCAGGCGGGGTGCGTCCACATCAGATCGCGTGAAATCTCTGCGTCAGTGGTGATATACTATATTGGCAAAATAAAATAAAGTGATTTTACCAATATGTGTTTATAGTTTCTGTGCCTTTAAAGTCCATCTGCACTTCCCCTTTTTTTCTTTCTCTTGTCTGGTTTAATCAGGATGTGGCACTAGTTTATAATTTTCTTGGGAGTGACCTGACACCCACGTACACTTCAATCTCCCCCCTTTTTTTCTTTATCTGTTGCAGTTTGTAATGATGGTTCTCTAGGAGCTTAGACCATGCCTCTCTCCTCTACATTTGTGAAACCATTGTACAAACCAGCAGCACTACGTTTAGAATAGGGACACTCCTGCTTAGGATAGAGTCCCTACACATTTCTAATAGTTCAA